AAGGTTGACAAAGGCAACGTTGTGTTGTGATGGATTATTATGATTGTTATAAAACCTGGTTGTTATGAAGGTTGACAAAGGCAACGTTGTGTTGTGATGGATTATTATGATTGTTATAAAACCTGGTTGTTATGAAGGTTGACAAAAGCAACGTTGTGTTGTGATGGAGTTATTATGATTGTTATAAAACCTGGTTGTTATGAAGGTTGACAAAGGTAATGTTGTGTTATGATGGATTATTGTTACTGGTGTAGTAAAATGAGTGAATTATTGAGTGATATCTATCTATATTTTGTAAGATCTAGTGGTGTTAAAACACCTTACATTTATGGTGTGCCATAGATAAGGAGCTTTTAATTATAACTTGAGTAAATATCTAAGCTGCATGTTGGGACCGAATACTATAGAGAGAGTTAGCTTTACAAATTCAGAAAACGTTATTAACTTACTGAGCACATCTAATCTCCGGAGTTCCTTAGTAAGTTTGATTGGGTCATTATTGACACAAATCAATCAATCTAGTGATAAGAATCTTTCTTGTCTAGTGATAGAAGTAAGTGAAAGAACTCTACTTTCTGCAGAAGTATATATTTATAACTAGATAAACTACATTTCAAGCTCCTGATCAGAGCCAGGGAATATGTTTGTACATTAGCACTTGTTCTAGCTAGCATTTTATGGACATTCTTGATTATAAAGTTACCAGGACGGTTAATTTAGGATTATGTTCTTGTTGTTGATATATATATATGTTGATTTCTAGTTTTATTTCTGGACAAATGGTTAAACAGTTTTAATATTTTTATATACATTTCATTCTAAGTTTACTCACGAGACTGAGAAGGGGGGGTACTCGTGTTTTTTTAATGTCATTGTTAGCAAAGTTAATAATGCTTTTAAAACAAGAATATCTTTCTTTAAAGGGGGACATCAGTTCATCACAAGACTCAAAAATAGGGATTACAAAGTTTTTATTAGCTATAGATAAGGTTAATTGTAGTTCAAGGAAAGAGCCGAATAAGGAAACACATTATCAGAAAACTGAATGTATAAAAAACAATTATTATTATTATAAAACAACATTCAGGTATCGATAATAAATTACAGAAAAAAAAAAAGAAAGGGAATTCGTTTATACCTAGCTTATAAACCAGGATAAAAAAATAGAAAACGTGTTTAAACTTGCAGTTCTGAATATGTAATATTGTATCCAGAAAAAGGTTGAATAGAATTCTAAAAAAGAACAGATTTAAATCATTAGTATACTACAGGGGGCGCTCAGCAGAGCGCATGTCTTCGCCACGCAGCGTTTATCATATTCTGCCCTCGAAAAATACGAAAATATGTCCGTATGTCCGTCGTTATCAACTGGCACGGACCATGAGGAATAATATTCTACATGTGCCCACTAATTTTCATCACAATCTGTTTATTTTTTTATTTAGCTACAGAGCAAAGAGACAGGGATTTTTTTTTCGTGACCTTGGGATGACCTTCATCTTTGACCATCCACTTCTAACTTGGGTCATAGTCCAAATGTATACGAAATTTCGTCCGTTTTTGAGAATTCTTGCCGACAAACACAAAAACATAGCATGATAGTAGTCATCTGTAGCCACCTGGTGGAAACTTAGTAAATGACTTCGGTTTTATTCCGAACGTTAAGTGCGATGTCATCTATCAGTTAAAGTATGTGTCTCATGAGTTATTGTAATAACTTGAACGTACATGTTCAGAGTTTAGTCCATAACAAGTCCTTGTTAACTGATAAGTTGTAAATACTCCCTATTTGAAGCTGTTACCCTTACCTGCTGATACATCTCTGTGATCTTCCAAAACAAAAATAACGACTCCTAACGGGAAATATTTTAACCTGGTTAAATTATTTCTCAATAGAGTTTATTACGTGATATACATAGGATATGATTTCAAAATCACTTTAATATGTACTGTACGAGAATAAAACTGAACATATGCTCAGTATTTTGTAGCCTTTTAAATACGAGTTTGTAAAATATATATATAATTATAAGACAAAACATACATTAGAACTCGTAACCTTCCGTACTTCACACTCGGATTAAACTTTAAATGTTATGGTCAGTTTCTAGTGTCAATTTCTCCCGACAGGGGTCACTCTTAAATTTATCACTTTCAAGCCTTAGAGGCATTTTTCTGTAGTTTAGACATGTTTTATGGTATGATTCTGAAAACGATTTCGCCTTTCACTTCCGTAAAGAGATTAAAACCACTCTCGTTAAAGTAAAAATTAAACCTAATCTTTAAACGGCGAGTGGCCTAATTTTGTTGATGTACATATAATGAAATTTGTTTGACAGTGCCTTGCTCGTGTTGATAAATGTTTTATGGATGACAGAAACTGATATATGTTCTTATATTTTTATATATAAAATATCATATTTTATAATACAAACTTTCACCGTCCAAGCTCATTTCTCTAAATTTATAGGTTAATTTTATAATGTCTTTTATTCTCGTAATGTGTGTTTTAACTGTTGTTAAAAGTTTGTTCTTTTTTTTTTTTGGTAAAACGTTTCATTATAAGGATTTAAAGTTTGTTTGCTGTTAACAAAGAAGTAGTCTATTATTATTAAGAAGTAGTCTATTATTATTAAGAAGTAATCTATTATTATTAAGAAGTAGTCTATTATTATTAAGAAGTAATCTATT